CTATTTTCCCACGAAAATTATGACATCGTAATAGATAGAGCCCAAACTATGATCACGAGATATTTACCCATGAAAAAACAGTTATATATCTATTTCTCCCTGAAACGAAAATTCGATATTTAAATCTCCCCGAATGTGGAAGCCCCCTTGGCCCATTGGTTGACTAAGGGTTAATTAATGCTTCTACATCAAGTGGTCTGGGGTTCGAGTCCCAGATACTGCGATTTATTTATAAGTTTGCAGATTAATGGAGGCAAGTGTGCAGGAGATCTCTAGCGATGTACAATTATAGCCGTTCGCCAAGATTCCACGCAGAGAGGGAAGTGTCGTCAGGTTGTAGATCATTGAAGGTGACCATCAAGAGCATGAAGAAGGAAGTGTCGTATGCGTGGATCTAATAAGGGTCGGAAGGAATTGTCCGTTGTAGTATCGTCTATGTAACAGTTCTCATAATTTGTAATAAATAATAAATCTAGACGTCAAAAAAAAAAATCTCTCCGAATTAATTGTTTTAGATCTATTAACCCATAAAATTTGGTTTTGTCGGTTTACTGTTTACTTAACCGATTACTAAAGAAACTAAACCCAATTATAACCAAAGAAAACCAAATTTGAAAATTAAATAAATAAAGAAATGAATTTTTATTAATTTTTTTTATATAAAAACACGTGGTTTTCTTCCTCCATTCTTCCTTCTTCCTTCTTCATCGCCATCATCAAAATACGATTTGTGTTTTGATGGACCCAAATTCAAAAATCAATTATGAACCCAAATTTTAAATTCAATTATGAATCCAATTCAAATCGATTCAGGGAACTATGCTCATCTGTATCATAAGAATGTCGGAAAAACGGTCTATTTCCCCACGAGAGCCCAAAGTATGACCTCGATCTATATATCTCTGAAATAAAAGTTATATACCTATTTCTCCCCGACACAAAAGTTTTGTATCTAAATCTCCCTGAATTAATTGTTCTAGAATTATTAACCCACAATCTTGGGTCTCGCCGGTTTACTATTAACTTAACCGATTATTACAAAAATTAAACCCAATTAAACCAAAGAAAACCAGATTTCTCTAATACATTATTTCCTTCCTCTCTGTCACGCCTTTCTCTCTCTCTCTGTTTTGCTTCATCTTTCATCTAAAATGGTGAGAATCATAAAACCCATCGCGTATACTCTCAGATTTGTCAAAGATTTTTGTTGAATTCTTAATTCTAATGCTTCTTCTTCTCAAAATTATTTCCTTTTACCCTTTCAAAAAATTTTGACTTCGATGCCTTACGTGACTTCATAGCCAATCACAAACAAAAACCCGGTGGGTGAATAAATTTTTCTTCTACTGATTGCTGCAATTTGACCGGAATCACGTGCAATTTAACCTCTATCAATCTAGACAACATCGGAAGGGTTACTAAATTGGAGCTCGTGAACAAATAGTTGTCGGGAAAATTGACTGAATCTCTCAAGAAGCTAGTTGAGATTAGGGTTCTTAATCGGTCTCGGAACTTCGTCAAAAACTCGATCCCTGTTTCGATTTTCAACTTGGTGAATCTACAGACTCTTGATTTGAGTTCTAATGATCTCTCCGGCGAAATCCAAAGAAGTATAACTCTCCCAGCTTTGCAAAGTCTTGATCTTTCCTCCAATAAAACCAGAGTTCTCAACTTTTTTTTTTTGTTTCTCTAGCATAAACGGATCATGAGAACTTGCCCAGAAAATTAATCAATGTTAATGCATATAATCTTTGAATTTATGTTAAAATTGATGTCTTTGTGTGTTTACCGGTGATTGGAATCGGAGATTCATCGATTCTAAGTTTATCAAGTTTCAAAGACGAGAAGCTATATCAGAACCTTCGTAGATGGAACTGTTCAATGGAGCGAATTGAAGTACGATTGGTGGGGTTTCCTTCTCAGCCATGCCCGATCTTAATCTATGTGTGCAATTCTCTGGGGAAGAGAGAGATATTAAGAAAATCTGGTTTTCTCTGGTTTAATTGGGTTTAGTTTTCCAATAATTGGTTAAGTTAATAGTAAACCGGCGAAACCCAAGATTATGGTTTAATAGATCTAGAACTATTAATTCAGGGAGATTTAGATACAAACATTTTATTTCGGGGAGAAATAGGTATATAACTTTTGTTTCGGAGATATATAGATCGGGGTCATACTTTGGGCTCTATCTATCGTGATGCGATAGTGCTCGCGGGGAAATAGACCGTTTTTCCTAAGAATGTCAAAATTAGTATCATAAGATCTCTTCTTCTTCTTCCCCTCAGAACATTCAGATTCGAGTTCACAGGGTTAGATTTCTCAATCTGGGCACGGAGCTAGTTGACGTTTCCTTCGATTAGGCTCTGGAGACGGATGAGAATTCGATAAAACAGATTTAGTAATTGAGATGTTGATTTTGTCTAATTAGATTGTTGTTTTGTGAATTGTAAAATCTCTGCGGAATCTCCCCTCGATCTTCAAAATAAACCTGAAATCCATCATAACAATCAAAGAGAGACATGCACTAATTTTCCAAATAAGCATAATCATGAATGAGAAGGGGAATAATGAAGAAGACGAAGAAAATGATGTAATTTTGTCATTTGTTTTTTTAATTTTTTTTATTTGTTTTGATTGTTGAAACTCTCTAAATCAGAAGAAGGTTTGACATGCAAGTGGTTTGGTACCGGTTTGAGTGGTTTTTATCGGATTTGGTTAGTAAACCAATTAAACCGAGATCTCTGGAAAATTAGATGAAAACTATCGATTTAGGGAGATATAAGTTGAAAAGTATTTTTTCGGAGACATCTGGATCTTGGTCATAGTTTGGGCTCTATCTGGTATGATGTCATATTTCTTGTGGAGAAATAGACCGTTATTCCCACGAAACACTGAAAATTTTCTCACACAGAAAAGCTTAGTGTATGGAAAACCAGTGCCAAAAGTGAAAATTCTAAAAAATGTTAAGAACTGATAACAAAACTAAAAATAGCACTGAAATAATAACCAAGCGTTATACCGCATGTATAATTCACTAAATATTCTCATTTTATGGTTTCTAGACTGTTACAACCACAAATACTATCAAACTATGCATTTAACATATATAGAGACCTAAATAAACTCCTTGTAGCAAAAATGTTTATTTAAAGATTCAGGTATACTCATATTAAAAGATGGGATTTTTGCCAAATGTACCACAATTTTCAAATTCCTTAGTAATTCTACCATAATGGAAATCCTTTTAGCACTTGTACCACTTGTTTGTAGTATTGTGGTAGACAGTGGACGATTTTGCTCTTCTACTGTGTCAGGTGTGTCAGAAAAAGGAGCTACATTTAAAAGTTGGGGACAATAATTATTTGGAGACTATGTTTAGTTTTATTAAACATAGTAAAAAGTTGGGAGACAATCATTATTTAATTAAATGGTGAAAATGATTATTAGATATTAAAATATAATGCAAAGTATTAATTAGTAGGTCAAGGTAATTAATTAATTAATTAAAACGCTTAAGGAGATGATATGGGTTAAACTCGGGGACAACTAGATCGGTGACAACTGGATCTTGATTGTCCATCGCCAGATGATGTGGTTTTACCAGCCAGAGATCTGGATTTACTCGGAGACAACTTCTTTTAATTGTCCATCGCCAGATGATGTAGTTTTACCAGCCAGAGATCTGGATTAACTCGGGGACAACTTGATCTTTATTTTATTCTGCAAGAGAGCCGAAGACGAAGATCTGGATTTACTCGGGGACAACTTTGTTTTACCAGCCAGAGGGACGAAAACGGTTACCAATGCGCCTGGAAAGAGAAAAAGGACGGCAGAAATTTTGGAGTGTCACATCAACCGCAGTTCCTTATCTCACCAGTTGGAGGGTAAAATAGTCATTTTACAAACACAATGTGGTATGAATGACAATTGGGCTTCCAATATGGTAGAAGTGATAACTTTTGGACCAAATGTGGTACCAATGCTAATTTTCTCTTAAAAGATTTAGTATGTTTCACTCAGTACAATTCTATCAGATAAAAAATCAGGTATAATCATACTAAAACATTTTATTCAGTATGTTTACCTTTTCTTTTATTAGCATAAGATTAACACTCAACACAAGTATTTGGTCACTATTTAGTTCATTTTTGGGGACTCCATATGTAGAGATCATTGCAATAGTAACTTTGAAAGAGGATATATAGTAGAAAAATAACAATGGAAAATTTTTAAAAATGGCTACGAACAGATTATACCAAATAAGTTATCTAACATCTGGAATAGCTGGTAAAGTATCGTTTGACTCTTGTGCTTCGGGAAAAGTATTCCATAAGTAATTAAATGAATATATGACCAGAAATTACGAAATAGCAAACGAGGAGAAACAAAGTTCTTATACAATCTAGCATAATAAATAATTGCTCCTCTTCTGTTGTTAGATTTCTAAATCTGATAAAAAAAAAAAGAAATGAAACTTGTAGAGTTTATAAAATTTCATAACACACATGAATATAACAAATTCATCGAATAACACACATGAACATATACAATGAATCGAAGTGACAAAGAAGCTAAGGATCTCATCTGTACCCGAAACCTGAAATGAATGAATTGGTTTATGCTTGAATGATAATGTTGACACGTGTATAATAAATACTACTCGTGATGTAAACTGTTTACACCAAAAACACTACCAGTGACGTAGAAAAAACTAAACATATATATACTAAGCTAACAAGTAACTTACAGATATTACAGATGTTGATGCCTGAGCGTGAAAGAGGGGTTTTCAAACTTGTATTCAACTCTATTATTACGAATATAATACTTTTCTAAATCAAATTTTGTTTTTGTTTACCTACCATTACCATCAGTTCATAATTAGGAATATTATATAGATGTGTGTATATATATATATATAACACAAACTAATGAGAAATCTGTTTCTATTATTACGACTTTACTATATATTAAGATTGAGAATAAAGAAAAATAGTTTCAGGACAAATATAATACTGTAATAAGTGGATAAGAAAGAAAAATTTGTTGGTAAGAAAACCACAAACCTTGAACCAGCCTGAAATAGGTGAATCAGGCTGTGCAAAGTACAAACTGTTAATCTGAATTGTGGAAGTCACAAACAGATTTCTGACTTCTGCTAGAGACTAATTGTTTGCAAGCAATTTGGTTACATCAAATATAGATATGGAGCACTGGCCTACCAAGATCGACACAATCACAGAGTTTCTTCTTAAACCTAGCTAGTTTTGTCTCTTTAGCAGAAGTCAGAAAGCTGTTTGTTGTATTTTGATATTTTCTTATTTGTTAAATATATGTCGTCCAATGTCATGTTCATGATTTGAAGATATACGATGGACCCACGACGTTGCCATATAAAAACAATTATTAGGCTACTAGTTGTTGAGTCTTCTTTATTTTCGTAGAGATGATAATTAAGTATCCGTCTAAAAAAAAACTACAGCCTAATAATAACGGTTACATTAATTCATAATCGAGGTAGAATATGAAATTTGATTTCTTTAAAAAGCAAACACATTCAATACAAAAATAAACGCGTTCAATAAATAAACCACCAATTCACTAATATAGTATACATGAAATTTAATAACCAACGAATAATGGGGCTGCTAGCTGCCACGTCATCACTAACTTACCCTATTTAAACCCGTCTAGGCTTCCTTTTCCTTTCCACACCTAAGAAGCAATGGAAGACGAGAGAGACCACGATACAATTTCTTCGTCTCCCCCATCTTTGAGCAAGCAATTGGCGGGCACCACTCTTGGAGGAAGCGCGGACGTTCCCGTTGTTGATCTAAGCGTTTCTGATGAAGACTTCTTGGTGCATGAGGTGGTGAAAGCGAGTGAAGAGTGGGGAATATTTCAGGTGGTTAACCACGGGATTCCGGAGGAGCTGATGCATCAGTTACAAGTGGTTGGGAAACAGTTTTTCGACCTCCCCGAGGCGGAGAAGGAAATCGTGGCGAAAGATGGAGACTTCGAAGGATACAAGAGGAAGTATCTAGGAGGTATAAACAATTGGGACCAACATCTGTTTCACAGACTCTCTCCACCCTCAATCATCAATTATAAATATTGGCCTAAGAATCCTCCTCAATACAGGTACGTTTCCTAATAAAATCGTATGAGTTTGTGATTCATGACCAATTAGCAATAAGTGGACTGACTCGTGTTTTACGTTAAATTTCATTTTCTTAACAAAATATCAAATTTAAACGTTGGATTTTCGTCCAAATTTTGGGGCGGCATCAGGGAGGTGACTGAGGAGTACACAAAGCATATGAAGAGGCTAACGGAGAAGATTCTTGGTTGGTTATCAGAGGGATTAGGATTACCGCGTGAGGCGTTCACACAAAGTATAGGCGGTGAAACGGCAGAGTATGTCCTTAGGGTCAATTTCTATCCGCCAACTCAAGACTCGGAATTAGTCATAGGAGCCGCGGCCCACAGCGACATGGGTGCAATCGCACTCCTCCTCCCCAATGAGGTTCCTGGACTTCAAGCCTTCAAGGACGAACAATGGTTGGACCTTAACTATATCAACTCTGCCGTGGTTGTTATCATCGGGGATCAACTCATGGTACGTATGGTTGACTTTCTTTTTCTTTTCTCTTACTGGAGATTTGTAAATGTTTTTCGGGTTGATTTGTGGATTCAAGTTAACTGCAGAGGATGACCAACGGTAGGTTCAAGAACGTGCTTCATAGAGCAAAGACGGATAAGGAAAGATTGAGGATATCTTGGCCTGTTTTTGTGGCACCTCGGGCTGATATGTCTGTTGGACCTTTGCCGGAGCTTACCGGAGACGAGAATCCTCCTAAATTCGAGACTTTAATATATAATGACTATATAGACCAGAAGATAAATGGCTGGGCGCTCGAAGATCTTCCAGTCTACTGAAAACTCTCAAAACCTACAAACAAAAAATCCCACAGTATTGTTCAAGTGATCGTATCTTAAGTATTGTTCACGTTTTCGAATTATGTTTTATCTAGAGACAAGTGTGTGTTGATTATTGTTCTTTTCATCGTTTTTTTTTTAATTATTATTTGAGTTTTATATGCGTGGTTGTTATGTTCTCACTTTTCTTCGGAAAATACTTAGAGGGGTGAACCTCTCTATTCACCTCCTCCTTTTTAACTAATAAAATTATGACATGTCATATTATATTTAAATAAAATAATAAACTAAATCTAAAATCAGAAGTGGAAGCCCCCTTAGCTCATTGGTTGACCAAGGGTTAATTAATGCTTCAACACTAAGAGGTCTTGGGTTCGAGTCTCAGATATTGCGATTTATTAATAAATTTGCAGATTAAAGGAGGCAAGTGTGCAGGAGATCTCCAGCGAAGTACAATTATAGCCGTTCGCCAGGATTCTACGCAGAGAGAGAAGTGTCGTCAGGTCGTGGATCATTGAAGGTGTCCGTCAAGAGCATGGAGAAGGAAGTGTTGTCTGTCGTGGATCTAATAAGGGTCGGAAAAAATTGTCCGTTGTAGAATCGTCTATGTAACAGTTCTCATAATTTTTGCAATAAATAATAAATCTAGACGTCAAAAAAAAAAAATCTAAAATCAGAAAAACAAGGAAACAAAATCTTTACATAAACTAACGTCAATGTTGACGTCTTATTTTGACGTTAAGTACCTTTTTAATATAATTTATTTTATAGAGAGATATAGATTAAGGTTGGATGTATATCTTTGTATAAAATAAAAAAATATTTGGGTTTATTATTTATTAGAGATGAGTCTTTTTATTTATCTCTTTTTTCTAACCAATTAAAATACTGATATTTTATTTAATTATTTGTAAAATATAATCTGCCACCAAAACGCAGTTATATATCGGTTCGGGTTTATAAAGAAGAGTTAGGATATATATTTTATAATTAACTAGGAGGCTAGGGTTAGGGTTTATATAGGAGGATTAGGGTTTAGATTTTGTAATTAGACGAGATTATATGTCGGTTTAGGTTTATAAAAGAGGGGTTAGGGTTTAGATTTTATAAATAAATGAGTTTAATTTTTTATTTTAAATGACATATTATGATTAGTTAGAAACTTAAGGTGAATAAAAACCCAAAAATTGTTCATAAAATAAATTGTATTAAAAAAAGATGTCTGTAACGTCAACGTTGACGATAAATAAATATAGATTTTGTTTCATTTCTTTTGTTTTCCTAAATTTAAATTTATTTGTTTATTTTGTTTAAGAACAATTCTTGGGTTCACCCCTAGGGGTGAACCCAATTCATTCACCCCCTTTTTAATCACCAATCAAAATTTGACATGTCATCTAACTAAAACAATTAATATTATCTAAACAAAATAATTAAACTAAATCATTAAAAACTCAAAATTAAACTCAAAATAATTAAACTAAATCACCTACTACTCTCTCTCTCCCACGTCTCTTTCTTTTGTTTTTTTTTTCTTTTTTTCAAATATTGTTTTTCTTCAACTTTAATAAAAAATGTAAAAAAAATAATTTAACCAAAATAATTAATAGTAAAGCTTTAGCATTTCAATATGTTTTTTGTCTTTGTATTCAAAATGATCGAGCTTTACAATAAATCTCCGTAACTTTTGTCGAATTCCTACAAAATATAAGATTTCAAATCATGAAAAATTTGATCGAAAAGTCAAATATAAATAGTAAGAGTAAATTATCTACCTGAAACACTTGTGAAGAAAAAGACCCCGTCTGTAAACTCGGACTGCTTGTAGCTACAGATAAGTGGATATCGGAAGCAAAAGTTGAATCCTGAAGCATTTATCGATTTTTTCTTGTAATTAATATACATACATCTATTGACGAAGTCACCGAAAAGTCAAATATAAATAGTAAGAATGAATAGTTTACTTGTAGTACTTGTGAGGAAAATGGCTCTGTCTGTAATGTCGGATTGCTGGTAGCAAAAGTTGAATCCTGAAACATTTATCAATTTTATCTTGTAATTAATATATATATATATATATATATATATATATATATATATATATATACATATATTGACGAAGTCACGTTTTGCTGGAAATTGGAGATAAACGAAAAAAGAAGAATTATTTATCAAATACCTGAAACGATAATTTTCTCTTTGATGTACCCCGTTTTTTCGTTTCAAGAGCATTCAAATATCGACTGTGGGGTCCGACCTTTTTGTTCTTTGGTCGTCCAACAGTAGCTTTTCTTTTAATTCCACGTGCATTTAGAACTTCCTCGTCTTCTTCTTCTCTTTCCACATGTTCAACATTTGAAGTTGGGAGCATCCATGCATTAGCCTTCACAAGTTCTTTTTTCTTTTCCTCCAATTTTTTAAGCAATTCACATGCAGCTTCATTCGCACACATCGTCAATTCTACATGTTCAGCAGCAACAGATGCAATCTCACGAAAATTGTGACATAAATGGCTATAACGCTTTCCAATCGATTGCGTTACTGTTCCATTAAATGTCTCTGAACGATAAGAAGATATGTTTCGTGATTTTGCTTCTTTACTCCATCGATTCAAGATGTAGCTAGATGGAATTCTCCTAACATCCTTCTTATCCAATACTTTCAATGCATGACGACATAAGATCCCAGCAAAAGAATACTTCATGCAACTACACTGTATCGTTTGGTTTGTAGCATCATAATTAACCAAATGCTCTCGCGGTCCACCACGATAAGATACTTTGTATTCATACACCATCTCAGACTTACTGACTTTTTTAGCAACATAATCACCGATAACTGTATATTGATCCTGAAACAACTTAAAAACTTCGGGTGTATACACCTCCTCTGCATGTTGCAACATCTCTACGGAAGCAGATAATACCGAAGAGGTATGCATCATTTTGAAGTCAGCATTTAACTCGTTATATCGCCGATCATCCAACACTCTCTCATAGTGTTCGAAGAAGGACAACAAGTCATAACTACTCTTCAAGTATCTTTTCAAAATATTATTCATACTTTCACTACGTTGTGTGCTCACCATATCTGCTGTAAAAGTATGACGTCCATATACCATTGCCCATTTTTCTCTCACCTCAAACATATTCTTTAACCATTTATTCTCTGTCAAATTATGCTTATTGAGCATATTACTCCATGCCAATAACCAGTCTTCTTCTTCCTCATGGTCATATACACAGTTTCCAAAGTCTGTGGCAAACTGTCCTGGCCCGTGAAATACATGACTCAATTTTTTTGCAGCATTTTGGTAAATATGCCAAACACATAACCTATGTTTTGTTTCAGGAAATACCTTCACTATTGCATTCGCCATTGCTGCAGATTGATCAGTAAGAATAGTTTTTGGTTGTTTTCCAGACATTGCTCCAAGAAAAGTCTCGAAAAGCCACTTATATGACTCAGTGGTTTCATCATATAAGAGAGCAGCACCAAACACTACAGTTTGCTTATGATTATTGACCCCGATAAATGGAGCAAATGGTCTATCATATTCATTGGTCTTGTAAGTTGTGTCAAAGCAAATGACATCTCCAAAAAGATTATAATCACTTATAGACCGATCATCTGCCCATAAGATATTCGTGATCATATCGTCCTCATCAAGTTGCATTGAATAAAAAAAAGATGAATTATCCTCTTTCTTTTTTTGAAAGTATTCCAAAACTGCTCCAGCATCTCCTTTTACCATTTTTTCCATTCGCTTTCGATATATGTAATTACGATAGTCTTTTTCCAAAAACCCCAGATTTTCTCGCCCTCCAACTTCTCTACTCATCATTTCAACAGTTGATTTTGCTGAAATTCCTGACATCTCGGCATCATCAGCATGTTGTATTTGAGCGACAGAGAACATCCGGTTTCCCTTCAGCAAATGCTTCATAGGCGTCTTCACTAAATCATGGTTATGATTCTGGTTGAAAGACACAATCTTATATCTTCCCGTCCTCTGAAGGTAGCAAGTCATATGAGCTTTACAACCACACCGTGTAATTGGCTGTGAATAACATGTCTTGATCTTAGGTTCCTTCCTAAACCCTTCTTTTGAGCAAACATAGAGAAGCCTTACTACTTTATCATTTTTTTTCTTTCTCCGTTGTTTCCTTACATTGAAACCATGTTCACCTGCAAACCTTTTATAAGCTTTATGTGCAGTTTCATCAGAACTAAACTCCATTCCAATACACAGTTCATCTTTCTTCTCTTCAGTTTTAACGTAGTTCTCTTTGTTGACTATATCATCTTTTTCTTCTTCGAATTCACTTACTGAAGCTTCGTCTTCACTTACTGAATCATATTTTTCCTCATCACTACTTTCCATTGCAATCTGCACTAATCAATATATTAATATATATGTATATATATTTCTATTATGTTGTATAAATCTTGCCAATAAAACAAAAAAAAGCACGGTACGATCTTACGAAAAAAAAAAAATATGAGGAAGAAGAACAATTCTTTATGTGGTGCAAGAAAAAAAAATTGACAATTGAAAACTAAGTTAACAAAAAATAGAATACAAATAAAACCATACCAAACAAAAAGAATAATTCACGTACTAACATGCTTTCAAAACACAAACAACGTCCTACTTATATGATATTCAATACATGAATCAAGTAGATAGAAAATCTTCAATTGAATAATTTTTAAACTAAGAAACTTTGATGTAAATATAAAAATTATTTTGACTTACGTTTAAATTGTGTAGAAACGTGAAACTCTTTCCTTTGATAAAACTAATCTCTTTTGATGATATGTGAGAAGAAGAATAGAAAAAACTTATGAATAGGGTTAGGGTTAATGACTTTATATAACATTTAGAATTATGTTATAGACCGCATGGTCGGATGGACTCCATAACCGTGGGCCTAATCCATATTCTACAAGGCCCATGTCCATGTCCTTTATGGCCCATGCCCATGTTCTAGAAGACTCTCCTTATGACGGTCTATTTTGTACTTAGTGGGCTTAT